ATTATGGTATAATTAAAGTTTTTATATTTAATCGAACTTGAATCGAGCTTTTTATCGAGCTTGTTCATGAACATCAACTGATGTTGTTCGCAAACATAAACGAGCTGAACGCATTAGTGTTCAAGCTTGTTTATTTAAGAATCGAGTATTTAAAATATTGTTCAAGTTTGTTTGTTAGTTAATTAAACGATCACGAACGAGCTTTAATCGAACCGAACAACTGGTTCACTTGCAGCCCTAATACCACCTATGGCTATTCACCTATGGCTATTCAGAATTTGTTGAAGTGTTTTAAAACAATTTTTATTTTATTGAAAATATTCTTAAATATATTTTTTTGTTTTCATGCTATTTTAATCCCTTATCATCAACTTAGATACTCAATTTTAAATCTCCCCAATTTCTCTTATTTTAATGTATTAACAAATGTTTTTTTTTTTCTTATCCAGAGAATTTAATAAGTTGCATTGTATAAATTTTTAGGAAGAGGGACTTGTAAAATTTGGACTTCGTTTGGGAAGACTTTCTTACTGCTTTAAAAGCAGTAAAAAGGTCATCTCAAATAAAATCTTAGTAAGAAAATTGGCCCAAACACAGCGTTGAACTTAGACTCTCATTTTAGTTCATAAATAATTACAGTGATGATGATCATTTTGTTAGAAAAATTAGTGAAGATTAAGAGGATGCTTAGCTCGATGAAAAAGTTAAATGCTAAGTATTCTAAATACAGGAGTTCTATATATTTTATTGTTTGGTTTGATGAAAAAGTAATGTATAGAAATTTCTTGATGAAGTAAAATTTCACTATGTAGTTTATTTTCTTATGAATTCAAATTTTAAAATACAACACGTGCTACCATAGCTCTTGAAGGCAGTTGCCATCTACCACCATCGATCGCTACCCACCCATCGGAGGCGTCGGCCACTGCCCAACATTACCTGTCACCTCCAATATTGGAGGACAATCATTGCTACTGTCGATCATCATCATCATTGAGCTTTACATTACATTTTATTGCTTAAATCAAACAAAAAAAAATCACATACATTTATTTCGTATTCTTCCAAACAACTCCCAACATTTAAAATGTATTGCATTCTCTTTACATTATATTCTAATTTACTATGCATTCATTTTTTAGAAAATAAACCCTCTAAATATTAAGTTGATACATTGTTATTTTGATTGATTGCTAAAAAAAAAAAAACTTTTAATCTCATTTAATAAAATAGTTATTTGGTTGTGTGTGAAGAAAATGATATAATAAAAATAAAATGATCATATAATAATTTTAAAATGAGAAGTTCAAATATATTTAAATGTATTTTTTATTCTTATAAATTCTAATTGAAAAATATATATTTTTTCCGATGAGCACGTGTGAAATTTTATTTGGTATTCTCTCTTTATAATCTATGATGTCTCTAATAATTATAATAAAAAAAAATTATATTATTTGAAATTTTAGTAAGGGCTTTAAATTATTGGCGACACAGGCTCATTGGCTAAGGTTATGGCCTATGGGCTTGGCCCATCAGATTGGTAGAACTGGCTAATCTGTCACGGCATGAATGGCCCAATGGACTTTTCAATTGGTTTAGCCCATTGTTTAAAATTTCACCATTCCCCTTATCATCCTCCAGCATTATAAAAATTTCAGTAAAAATTATATTGAGTGTTTAGTTGGAATTATACCATCTTATAACTATAATGTAATTTTTCTTAATAGGTCATCTAATATTTTGATCCTCTCTCTCTCTATCTCTCTCTCTATCTCTCTCTCTCTCATATTTTATGGCATGTTTTGAAATTGTTGGGTAGTTTTACTCAATTTTTTTTGTGTTGTAGGCATCTTTTAGGACCACTTTCTTACTACTTCATAAAACTATTTTTTAGTACTAAAATATCTCAAAACAAGAAGAAATTAGTGGTCTAAAACTGTTAAACTAAGCCATAATACGAAACTTATGACTTATCATCAAGAGGTTCAAACATTCTACATTAGAAACTAATTCTTTATGAGGTAGATGAAACTATACATTTCATCCATCGGAACATCCAATTCCTCCACCAAACCCCCACGAGGCTAGGAAACTGCCCCATCCATGCCATCAGAGTGATCCAAAGAAGGTGACACAACAACAATTGTGCTTTCAGATCTGCATTTGAGATAAGAGAAACCAATACATCTATGACAGATATAGAATCGATAGATTTTGTAGTATTAGGCAATAATTCCTTCGCAGTGGAAGAATGTGGTGATTTATCATGAATGTTGCTGGAAGAACCATTCAACACCGCCAAATTAACAAAGCAAGATTCATTCTCAACAACATCACGCTAAGTAGGAGGCTGACAATTAGTATTAATAGATGGAGAGATAACAAGATTCACATTCTTAGTACAATCTTTAACTGTTACATAAACACCATAATCCTCAGGACCCAAAATGACATGATCAGACAGAAGTCCCACCCTAGTAGAGGGTAAAAGCAAAGATTCATTTTCTCCAAAACCCCCAGTTGCAGCCTCTGCTCTAGCAACCAAAGAAAAATCAACACAACTATTACCTTGAACGTCATGAGAAAGTTGAGGCTCTAACATACAACCAGCATTATTCAAATTATCCCTAACAAGGTTAGGGGCCTTGAGTAAATGAGGATGAAACCGAATACATTCTTTTTTAGTATTACCTAACACTTTGCAATGCTCACAATAGGATGGAAACTCATCCATCACAACACTTTGAATATAACCAAATTTTTTAGGGTCAATCCAAACATTATCCGGATAGCATTTCGTTATATCAAGCTCCACAAACACCCTAGCAACAGACGGACAGGAGCCCACCATAGTGACAATATCAATACGAAGGGGGCAGCCAAAAATGGAACCCAGGCCATGGAGAATATGGGGAGCAAAAAAATAAGGAAGAAATCTCAACCTCGATATTGAAAAACTTATATTTTGAGGCAAGAAAAACTAACAAAGAGAGAAGCTCGTATATGAGTTTTGTAAAAATATAAATGACACTACGTACTCTATGTTAGAAGTATTTACTTATTATATATTTAATGGATCAGAAAATTTTCAAGAGGAAGATTTGCCTAAAAGTAACTATCATGATAAAGCACACATTTTTTGTTTGAAATTAATATTTTGATTGATTCAAAACTTCTATTCTTTTTTTTATTTAATGGTGGAGTATTAATTCTCTAATTATAGAAATATTTTCAGGAACCTAAGCAATAAAAAAATGTTAATCAACTTTGTTTCATGCTTGTATTTTTATGTCAGAGTTCTACACCTTAGTTTTGTATGAAAATTTTATACACACAAAATACAATTCACTAGAAACATCAATATTTTTATATTAAAAATTCAAAAAGGAAAAATAACTATGGAGCCTGACCTGTTTGAAATTGTCCACAATATAAATGAAGTTACAGAAGTTTGTTTTTCCTCTCAGTTGGAGAAAATGAAATTATAAAGCTTAAAATACTAGTTTTATTTCATGTGGTTGTAGTAAAGAGTGTTATGAAAGGCAATAAATGGAGGTGATGACGACCAATAGAATGTGATAAAAAAATGGTAATAGCGTACTATGATAGTTTGGTATCAATGAACGAGAGGTAGCTATTGGGCAACAATAGTCGAGTTATAGTGGTAAGCAACGACAAATTTCTAATGATAGTCATATAATTGTAATTAGAAAAAGATTGTCAGATGATGGTGATTTGACAACAATAGTTCGGTAATAAAAATCACGATGAATGTGATCATTGACGATGATTGTCATTATCAATAGTTGGACAAGACTTTGGAGTTTTTCGCATCTCTAAGTTCTTTCCAATTCGAGATCTCTTTTATATCGAGAAGAGAGATATGTTTAAGACTCGTGGGAGCGATATTTTAGTAATTTTTACAAAATCCCAAACACTCCATTAACATCCTTAATGATACAAGAATTAAGTTTTCTTGGGCTTGATGGATTCCTTTCGTCGGGACACTCAACAATAAGCACTTAAAATTTAGAGATCGTTTGATCCGTTAATTAATAAATAATAATATTTATAACTATACTTTAAATTAATATTTGATTTGGACTGATAATGAGCTCAGATCATTACACTTCTGTGTTGTTGGATTGTTCTCATTGAAAAGTTCACTCCAATCATATGTTTGCAAAAATAAGAGTTCAAATAATCCTGAATTTCATTAAATATATTTTCTTTTCAATTCAAATAGGCATTAAGATTCGTGCTTATTCAATAAATATTCTATCAACATATCCTACTTATTTACTATAAATTTGATGATATTTTAGAAATCTATAATTTGAAAATTTTTTCTTATTTTCATCATGTATTAAAATTTTAGCTCATTTATTTAATAAGTTAAACTCAATAACACTTAAACTCTGACTTATTTAAACATAATATTTATGAAATACACTAATCTCAATGTAAGTTCAATGACTTCGCGCTTCTCTACAGTTTTTATTTTTCCTCAACTCATATTACAAGCAAAACAAGTGTTCCGCCGGCACAAGTTAACGCCAAAAGCACGCCGCCGGGATCCGGTCACAGCAGCTGATTCGAACGCTCTCACCTCTTCCCGCTTCAACACGACGCAAAAAATAATTCTTAAAAAAAAAAAGGTAAATCAATTCCTTAGCTTTGCCTCCAAAACTCGATCTATAAAAGGCCCCCAAATCACAAGAGAAAATCGAAATAGAAAGCAATACCTAATTTCCTTCTTCGTTTCTTTCCCTCCTTCCCTTTCAAAACCCTAAGCTCCTCCCTCGCCTCAGATCCAATCTCACCTGCATCACTTTCCTCCATGTCCGGCATCGACAGCTCGAGCCTCGCGGAGATCCTTCCTCGCCCGCCCAATCGGCAGTTCAAATTAGGTTCTGAGGATTTCCCTCCTTTTCGATGCGTAGTCGCCGGCGTCACTGAGAAGGGGAAGGTGTTGGTGCCATCCGTTAATCCGTTCAGCTGCGCTCTACCGATGAGCAATAGAAGAATGCAGAAAGTTATTCTTGAGTTGAAAGCGAGAAGAGATTGAACCAATGTAATTAACAATAACTTTTTAACTCGTTAATGATATTTGCTTGTGTTGCTGCCGTCTTGTTTGCATATTGGGCTATATTAGTTGATTGTTTTGCATGAATAAATTTCAAATTATTTATGTGGTTCAATATAACGCTCTAATTTCATAGCTCCAATCTTCTTGTATATAAATTATCACATTTCTAACTTATTTATAGTAGGAATTTGTGTTATTTATTACCGTAATACTTTTCTTTTTAGTTTCTCTTCTCTTGTTTATGCATATTTTGCTCTGTCAATTTAGTAAATGTACTGTCCTTTCCAACTGTCTCACTTCAAATATGATATTAAAATGATGATTCTAGATTCATTGTCAGGTCACCTCAAAAATTTAATACACATTACAATGTGTAAGTTTGCTCATCCATCTTCCTCCTCTTAGTTTGACTTCCTCTCACAGCTTCTAATCTTTCTCATCAACTACTAGGCCCCTTTTCATCTTTATCTATTTCGTGCATATTTATGCAGCATGTGATCTCCTAGATTCTATAATGTTGATTGTTTCAGTGACTTTTGTGCTCACTACATCAATGCTATCATATAATACTATATGTTAGAGCATTTCATTCTCTTATGACATTACTCTTTGCCAATAGTCTTTATTAGTATCCCATTCAAAGATTGATGCAGTCAAGGACTTTGGTTTTCCTTATTGGCTCTTCGTTTCCCAAGCCACCCCATCAGTTTCCTTGCTATTGGCTGCTCGTTTTTCCCTTTTGTGGCTGCTTGATTTTCCCCATTTGTTGAAACCTATGCATGATGCTTAATTTTCTAATTAATTGGGCTGGTTTGGAAGAGCTTTGTGGCTGTTTTGAAAGGCTTCTATTGGCTGTTTGGGTGGCAAATTTAAGTGAGCATTTAATATAATTTCCCCTTATTTTTTTTATATAAGGTGGTTGATTTCTTTGTGGAAAAAATGGAGAGATTTATAATGAATTGTTGGAATGTGAAACCTACGGGTTTTTAGCTTACGAGCTATAATCTCTACTTTTCTTCTTCTATTTCGTCTCAGCATTCTATCTACTTCTTCTTTCCACGGTTTCCATTCCACTTGTATCTTTTTTTTTTCAAAATTTGTATAAGTTGTAAGGTGTCGTTGCGTCGTGTTTTATTTAAATTATTTGTTATTGTTATCCATTTTATTTAAAGTTTTAAGGTGTATTTTTATTTATAAGAGTATTGCTATGTTTATGGTAAGTAAGACTTGAGTTAGCAATACTTTTCTTCTACTTAAACAAGTTTTTTGACATATCTATTAGGTCGGACCCCTCTTGGGTCGGTTAAACCGACACTAGTGGACCAGTTTTAACCTATAGCAGGTGGCCCAAGTTGGGCGGAACTAGGGAAGAGAGAGAGGGAGGGGGCAGATGCTCCTAGAGGGTCCACATGCTAATTAAGTTTGCTTTGGAGGGAATTTTTGAATTAGGGGGGCTGTTTAGAAAATTTTTAATTGTCCTTTGTCTTTAATTAGTTTCTTTTGTGGAAGGGTTGGGGTTGCATGCTAGATTTGATTTCTCTTGAAGTTCCTTGGTGTTTTGGGCGCTAGACTACCTTGTCTAGAGATTTGGGAGAGACCCCTCCTCTTGAATTGAGGATCACTTATATCTTATTTTCATGTTTGTTTGGCTTTCATTCTCCTATTGTAATCCATCGGTTTGGGGTTGATTTTGCTCATATTTTGCTCATATTTTGCATTATTCTTGCTGTTTTCACCCTAAACCATAAACCCTAAACTCAAGTATTACCCTTAGGGTTACTTGCGAACTCAAGTACTTTCTATTAAATTGGTATCAGAGCGTTGTCTCGTGACCATCGGCGATTGAAATCCAGAAATTTTAGCAAAGAAATTTCATCCGCAGAAGATCTTCTCGTAAATCTTGGGAAGAAAGATGGTCGGGAAGAAAGTCGAAGTTTTGGAAGGTGAAATTGGACAACTAAAATTAAATTTGGACGAAAAATTATATTAATTTTAAAATCAAATTTCCTCTAACAACGAACGGTTGGAAGGAAAGTTTACTTTGATGGAAGAGATGTTGAAGAAATTGCTAGAAGTGAAGACTAATCTGGCGACATCAGAAGCAATGGAAAACATCGACGGCAATGGAAGGGGTGGAAACCCTAACATGTTTAAGGGAAGGGAAAATCAGGAGGTGAATATCTTGGAGGGCAAAGATGGAATGCCTCACCTAGAATCATGGAGCACTGATTTTGAAAGAAGGGTTGCTGATTTTGTAGGGAGAAGGGAGGAATACTACCGCAGAGGTGCTGAATTTGAAAGAAGAAGAGGAGAATTTGATGAAGGGGGTGGTTATAAACCCCAAAGGGAAGACCATAACAACTGGGGAGTACCTCCTCTTCGTGGAATGAGAGGTTATGGAAGGTTCAGGGGCAACGGGGGTGACCCGAAGGTGAGAAAGTTGAAGATGTCCATCTTTGAGGGCGAGTATGACCATGGTTGGATCTACAAGTTGGAATGATATTTCATCGTCAACGGGTTGACAGAGGAAGAAAAGCTGATGACAGCCTAACTGTGTTTGGAGGGGAAGGCACTGGTATGGTACCAATGGCGAGACCTGAGGCAACCCATCCGAAGCTAGAGGGAGTTCAAAGAGTGCTTACTAGAACATTTTCGAACCGGTAGGGGAGGAGGCTTCTATAAGCAATTCTTTGCTTCGACACAGGAGGGGATTGTGGTAGATTACCGTGACCGATTTGAGTATTTGGCCAGTTGATTGTACCGACTCTCTGAGATGGTGTTGGAGGGGAACGTTATGAAAGGGCTTACACCGGAGATACGAGCAATGGTTAGAGTGATGAGGCCAAGAGACTTGGGGGAGGTCTTGGAGCTAGCTTAGTTGGTGGAGGATCAAAAGCAGCTGGAGAGAGGGGTGAGGGGGTGGGGGGGATTGTACAGCAAGACCATTACCTTAGCCCCCAAGGGACCAGCGTTAGGGAGTTTGAAGGAAGTGTCCAAGGAGAGAACTGGAAGAGGAAATGGGGGAAGTTTCAAAAGGTTGACAAAGAAGGAGATACAAGAGATAAGGGTGAAGGGGTTGTATTTTAGGTGTGATGAGAAGTACATGCCAGAGCATAGGTGTAAGGACCGAACTCTTCAGGTTATCATCGTCTGTGATGACGAGAAAGTTGAAGAGGGAGGTGGAAGCAGGTTAGAAATGGAGGAAGAGGAGAAGTTGCATCTGGATGTGACAGAAGTCTCCCTAAACTCAATAGTGAGGTTCACCGCTAATTACACTATGAAGGTGAAGGGAGAGAACGGATAGGGAGTAGTGTTGATAGATAGTGGGGCAACCCATAATTTCATCTCCACCCAGATTGTTGATTTATTAGGGGTGAAATTAGTAGATACAAGAGGCTACGAGGTGATTATGGGCACGGGACATGTAGAAATGAGTAGAGGAGTTTGTAGGGGAGTGGTGTTGACCATTCGAGGGATACATGTAAGGGAGGATTTTCTTTCCTTGGAGTTGGAGAGTACGGATGTCATCTTAGGGATGAAATGATTGCAATCCTTTGGGGAGACCAAAGTAAATTGGGGAGCAATAAGGATGGAATTGGTTGTGGGGGGAAGGAGAATGGTGATTCAGGGTGATACAGGGTTGTCCAGAGCATGAGTATCTAGGGGAACAAACAGTTAGTACGGAGTTGCCAGCTACAGTTACAGAGGAGTTAGAAGTGATATTAGAATCACTGGAGCTACGAGGTGTCAGATCATATAAAAAGGGAAATCAAAGAAGTGCTTATTAGGTGGAGGGGCCTTCACGAATTTGATGCTACTTGGGAACCCTATGAGATTGTAAAAGATCAGTTTCCTTCATTTCACCTTGGGGACATGGTGAGTTTTTAAGAGGGGATACTGTTAGGCTGGCCCCTCCTGGGTCAGTTGAATTATCCCTAATGCACCGATTTTTACCTATAGCAGACGGCCCAAGCTGGGTGGAACCAAGGAAGAGAGAGGGAGAGAGGGAGGGGGCGGATGCTCCTAGAGGGCCCACATGCTAATTAAGTTTGCTTTGGAGGGAATTTTTGAATTAGGGGGTTATTTAGGAAATTTGTAATTGTCCTTTGTCTTTAATTAGTTTTTTTTGGGGAAGGGTCAGGGTTTAATGCTGGATTTGATTTCTCTTGAAATTCCTTGGCGTCTTGGGCTCTAGACTACCTTGTCTAGAGATTTGGGAGAGATGATCCTCCTCTCGAATTGATGATCACTTGTATCTTGTTTTCGTGTTTGTTTGGCTTTGATTCTCTTATTGCAATCCATCGTTTTAGGACTGATTTCGCCCAGATTTTGCAAACTCAAGTACTTCCTATCAATATCCTACACGAGAACACTTCCAATTGAATCAACATATTTTTCGAATTTCTATTATGTTGCTGGCTAGGCTTCCTTTCCTTCAATTTATGGTATTTAGATATCAGCGAGACAGCGAATTTCTTGTGATAATATTGTTGATTATCATAATCCTAATCATGATGGCTTACAACCTCTTGTTCATACTATGCATGGAGAATCTTTTTATTAAATTGATTTCTTTATGCATTTTCCAGATTAGGAAAAATGACAGAGCAACGGTGTTTAAAGTCCAGCCTTGTGAAAAAACAATAAAAGAAGAGCAGAAGGAAGCAATTGATGAAAAGATTCTTCTACCTAAGTCAGGAAAAAATCACAGGAAAAGGAGAAAATCAATCGCTCCGTTACCCAAAGCATGTGAAGTTCAAGGTTCTGAATCAGCCGATGGTACTTCCCATACAAATTGTTGTTTTCGCATTCATTTTTTTTTTACTGTTCTTAGTATCTCTATGTATGTAATGGATATTCATTTAGTATAGAAATTAATATTATTGAATAATCAGCTTCTTTTACTTTTTTCCAGGATCCAGTTTTATTGGATTGGGTGCTTCTAATAGCAGTCGGTATGATAGTTCCCTAAGTAAGCTGGAACCTCTCTTGGATTGATTTATGAATTGCACTTGTAGATTGTCACTAATAGTTAATGTGTTTGGGCAGGTTTGCTGACAAAGAAGTTTCTCAATTTGCTTTTGGAGGCTGGTGATGGCACTCTTGATCTGAATAAAGCAGCACAAGAGTTAGATGTATGCTACTAATTGTTTAATAAGGTTTTGTTTTGGACAATTTCCTTACTGCTTAATTTGTAAAGCTGCTGTTCAGAAAATAAAATTTTAAAATTATTGTAGAAAGCAATTTCCTAGCTCAGAAGTAATGTTTTTTTACGGCAGCAAAAAAGTATTGACAAATAGAAATTATGATAATGATCTGAAAGCAAGCAATAATAAAGCCGCCCAAAATGAAGCTCAAGTCATAGCATGTATAGTTAGGGGTGTTAATTCGGGTCGACGGGTCGGGTTCGGGTCGAACCCGAGTTGACTCGGCTCTAAACATGTCAACATGAATTCGATCGTTTTTGTAAATGGGTCGGCTATTTCAACCCGTACCCAACTCGTTGACGACAGTGACAGCACACGAAGCAACGAGAGGGCGCGAAGCGGCTCGCGACGAAATCTGTTGGACGACGCACGCGAAGTGATGCAACTTGTCGGGCACTCGACATAGGCAGCAGATGCGGGTAGAACATTTCAGGGTCATTTTCAAGTTTCTAGGTCAACCTGAACCCAACACGAGTTTTTAAACGAGTCGGTTTGTTCAACCCGAGCCCGACTCTTTTCTCAAACATGTCGATCTGAATCCGGATTTTTCTGGGTCAAGTTTCGAGTCATGTCAAAAATTAACACCCCTATGTGTAGTTGATGTCTTAATATTCCTGTAATACTTTCTTAATAGCATATGCATACCTCTAACTTTCTCTCTCTTGGTTTTGGACAGGTTCAAAAGAGAAGGATGTATGACATAACCAATGTTCTCGAAGGCGTGGGCTTAATTGAAAAGGGCTTGAAGAATATGATACGATTAAAGTAACTGTTGAATCTCCTTTTTGTTATATTCTTCCGAACAATTATAAACTACTTCCCAACTCACATTCTTCTTTGCAGGGCTACCCACATGTCAAGACCAAAGGAGATGGAAGAATCTAGAGCTCGCTTGAGGGTATAAATTTACCGCTAATGTTTATTTTCACTTTTTTCTCTCCTGAGGATGTTCTTTCGCCTCTATTCAAAATTCCAGAAAGTTTTAGAATCTTCTAGAAATTTCCATAAACATAACCTTCCAGATGAATCCATGAATTTTCTTTGATAGAGAGAAGCTTCTAACATACAAAAATAAAACCAAGGAATGGTTTGGACTGAATTTAAGAGTTGGATATTTGGGTTATTTTGAATGCTTGCTAGGTGTCTAAGATATTTAGGATAAAAATTCCCAAATTGGTGTAATTATATTAGTATTGTATTCCCAAATTGGTGTAACTATAAATAGGTCTTAAGGATTTTATTTTGAAGCTTAAACAATGGAAATTATTCCTCCCCAGTTCTCTCTCATTGACCAAATTATTCTCTCATTCTCCTCACCCGAAGTTCCCATGACCACCTCTTGGTATTTTAACTTTTCTTCTTTGCTTCTTATTGGGATCAAGAGATTCTCTCTCTCTCTCTCTCTCTCTCTCTCTCCTATCATTTTCTTTTTCTCTACTCTTCTTGTCATTTCTTTGAATCTCCTCTATTCCTTATATTTTAACATCAGTCAATATCCTCCCTTTCATTACATTATTACAAATCTTCCTCACAATTCAAGCCTCAACTACACCACCTCTTAAACTGAAGCCCACCAACCTTTAGACTATGCATACTAAGAACTTAAAAAAGCTGTATTCCTTCATTGTGCTGCTGTAGATATTGTTCCTCTTTTCTTGCTATTTCAAGATGTAACAAATAATAGAGAAAATTAGTATTCTTTAGGCTATGCATACTACATACTTAGGTAGTTTAATGATTCAACTTAGTTTAATGATTTTATCAAATAATACAAATTATCTACTGTTTTTGTGGTTTTGTGGAGAATTCTTGTTGTTTACTGAATATTGATGAGAAATACTTGAGATCTACAAGTGTTTCCTATCATAACGGTGTGGTAAAAAAAAGGAGATTGGGAATGAAATAAAATAAAAAAAGCAGATGTGCCATTGTCATAAATTTCTTAAATTTAGGATTCATTAATAATAGTACACATTTTAGATATCTCGAGCCTTTGTTCAAAGTAACGGTGAAATAGATGGAGATATTATTAGTAGAATTCAGATTGGATGGTTGAAGACTTGAAGTTGAGTAATGTATCAGGCGGGCTTGTTGCGTGATAGAAAATTCCCTCTTAAACTAAACCTTAAATTTTATAAGATGGCGGTGAGACCTCTAATGTTTTATGATGCTGAATGTTAGCCATTTGAAATGAAGCATAATATTAAATTAAGTGTTGCAGATATGAGGATGCTCAGATGGATGAGTGACTTTACTCTTAAAGACAAGATACAAAACGAGCATATACGTGAAAAGATTGGAGTAGCTTCAGTTGAATATAAGATTAGAGAAAGTCGCCTTAGATGGTTTGATCACATAAATGACAACCTTTTGATGACCTAGTTAGGAGAGTATATCTATTAGATTTGATTTATATTAAGGTAGAGGCAGACCTAAAAAGACTTGGTTAGAAAATATTATAAATGATCTTTCTGTATCAGATTTAAATAAGAATTTAACTCTTAAGATAACACAATGGAGAAAAAAAGATTCATGTACCAACCCCACGTAGTCGAATTAATGCTTGATGTTGTTGTTGTTGTAGGGTTCATGGCATAAAATAAAAAAGTAAAATGTTTTTAATCAAAAACTTTTGCACTAATACCAATTTGATACATGGAAAGCATATGAAGTCTCACTTTTAAGCAAGATATAAAGGCTTTGTTTGGGACGGTTTTTTTATTGCTTCTTGAAGCAAATTTTTAGTATAAAGCTGCCTCAATAAGCAGTAAAAAAGCCGTCCCAAACGAAATCAAAGTCTTAAGTCCAAGGGAAAATCTTTCATTCAATTACATTATCATATTCATCCTATGGCTTCCTTTTTAAAGAGGAGGGTCTTTTAGTTGCAAAGTAACAAAATTTAATTCAATTGAATAACCTTTGCAAAAATAAAAAAATTTGAAATATTAACTTCCTGTTGATTGGTCTTCTATATTGTTTTAATACTGGTTTTTTCCAATCCCTTGCACTTAATTATTGAAATATATCTATGCGAATATTTTCTTATATTAGTGTTTGCTCCAAAATGTTCAGGCTGAAATTGAGATTATGAGTAAAGAAGAGCATAGATTGGATAGGTTGATCAGGTAGAGACTCTCTAATAAGATGGAACAATCTATATTTGCAAAAAAGTTCAAAGTTATCTTTTGATTATTCATATGTGGCTATCTTAGTTGCAAAACATCACATTTCTTCAATCTAGTTCCTATGCTATAAAGAATTGATCCCAAATAATACCTCAAGAATTAAATTGGGATCAATTTTAAAATTGAGGGGTTTCATTAGAGAAATGTGATGTTATAGAATTAAATTGCCCCTATACGAATAATCGGAGGGACTATTTTAGACTTTTTTACCTTCTATCTTCTATTTTTCATTTGCATGACATGATAAATTCCTTTCGCAGAGAAAGGCAAGAGCAACTAGCGGTTTTACTTCAAGATGAAAACAACAAAAAGTAAGATCTCACATCCTCTAATTTTAAGGCTTAGGCTTCATTTGGGACGGCTTTCTTACTACTCCTTGAAACAATTTTTTAGTACAAAAATTTTAATTTTTTAACTAAAAAGTTGTTTCAGAAAGCAGTAAAAAAGTTGTCCCAAATGAAACCTTAGTTTAAAGCTCCTTTAAGAAACAGTAAAAAAGCCGTCCCAAACGAAGCCTAAAACCACAATTAAGTGCTCGTCTTTATTTTTAAAGAAGCTTTTTGGTCCTTGTAGGTGGCGTTATGTTACCCAAGAAGATATAAACGCCCTTCCTTGCTTTGAGGTCTGCTTTATTCTTCTTACATTCCATCACGTGTGGTCGTTAGTAATTGATTTTTTTTTTAATTTTTTTTTTAATCTTATTTGTTATGTTTATTTCAGGATTCAACTTTGATTGCAATTGAAGCTCCACATGGCACCATAGTTGAAGTTCCAGATCCTAACGAGGTAAGAAAATAGTCAATGGGAGTTCCCTTTCATCAGTTAGATATGATGAATGAATGAGACGAATCTTTCTGTTGTTGAGACAGAGTTCGGAATTTCCACAGCGGCTTTCTATGGTTTTGAGAAGCTCCATTGGTCCCATCAATTGCTACCTCTTAAGGTACGCATCGGCTTTTATATATCGGCTATAGGCGAGTAAATGAGCAGAGTTCGAATTCGAGCTCGATATTTGATAGTTGATTTCGACTTGACTCGTTTGCACCTCTAATATGTATATGCTTTTTTTATGTATATATAAATATAATCTAGCATTAATATCGAATATGGTCAAATAAAGTCTTGTTCATATTTGGCTTGTTGAAGGTACAAGCTTACAAAAAAACTAGTCAAATTTGCGCTAATTGTCAAGCTGATGGTTATCGAACATGAATAAAGAGCTTTTTTTACATCCTTAGGGTTCGTTTGGGATTGCTTTTTTCGTTTTTAATGCTTTCTGAAATAACTTTTTAGTACAAAATCTTTTAGTTTAAGAATTTGTGTACTAAAAAAATTGTTTTAGAAAGCATTAATCCGTATTGATTTTGTCTTAAATTTAGTGATTTTGCTGACAGCCGACATGAGGAAAGATTTGGATCTTCGCAGACCGAAGGAATGGATTTGTGCTCCAAGCATAGTTGCCTTCCAATGGATGAAATAATGACTGTGTTTCATTCAAATGCTAGTAAACAACTTGCTTCAGAGTCTCCCAATTCGCAAGAATCTTTGAGCGGTATAGTGAAAATCGAGCCTTCAGATTTAGATGTAAGAACCCTCGTAGTCTCGTGCTTATATTTAGGGTTCCTTAGGAGCAGCTTTCTCATATCTTTTACTTTCACAATTCTATTTGATTATAACTTTTTTATTACTTGCAAAAATTTTTGCGTCAAAAAATAACTTTTTTATTATCCGATAACTAAAAGAAAGTTGCTATTTTACTTTTCTCATAATAGTATCACAAGTGCCCCCAACCTCGAGAAATTATTCTATGCGAAGACCGGATATAAAATGTCGTCCAGAGACCAATCAAAATGTGCCACGTTAGCAATACCGAGCCGTGGTACTGCTCGGTAACGAGCAGTAGCGAGCCGTGGCGCATTCTGGTTGATCTTCGGATAACATTCCGCATCCGCACAGAATAATTAATCCCCATCCTAACGATTAAACATTTATTTCTTTGCATTCTTCACGTGTTTATTTTTTTTTTTTTTTGCTGCAGAGGGAATCTGATTACTGGTTTTTATCAGAACTGGGAGTCAGACTTGCTGAAATATGGAGTGGATAACAACATTTGTTATTCAGATGTATGCTTTTGTGCTATTCCAGTCCTGGCGACAGCAGAATGGCCGTATGGAACAGGTAGATAAAGCATCCCTAGATAAAATACTGGAAAACAAAAATGATCAAATTGGTCATCAGACTATTCAGAATGTGATGCTATTGACTCTTAAGATTTTTTTGTAATTCTCCAATTTCATCACAAAATAAATTTATTTTGTGATCAAATTGAAGAACAAAAAAAATTCTGGGTCGAAATTAGCACACCCTGAATAATCTGTAGGCTGATGCGATCAATTTTTCATTGCATGCTGATCTTCATGTAGAAAGAGAATTTCTCTTATGATGGAAATTTGACTATGGTAAATTTGAAATTTTTTATTTATTTTAAGATTTGTGCAATATAAAAATTTGATTGATTGTTCTTATATTGCACTAATTTTAAAGTAAATGCGAGAATTTTAAAACTCCTTGCAAAATTTTGATCAGAGTTAAATTTTCTCCTTATTTGACGATGTGCTCCTAATGTAAATATGATCAGTTTCTTTTGCTTCTAAATAAGCGATTTGCTCATCTTTGAAGTAAATTTTATGAGGGAGATATTGTAGTGTAATGTCGTGTGCTTGTTATGTTTGAGAACCAGTTTGTATTGATCCAATTTCAAATAATTTTCAGATTCTAAATCTGAAAATTTAGGAAATTCGTGAATAGTGTATTTCATGACATTTTATTTATTGAATTTACGTACAAGTTATAAAATTATTATTTATTTGCTTATCTAAAATCTAAAATTTTATATTTATTTACATAAAATTTTATTATTTTACGTAAACTAAAATGAATACCTTAAAAGGACCATTTAGTCTTATTCACTGAAAGAGAATGTTAATGATATTTTTGACATGATTTGAAAATTTGAATATTATGTAAAAAATTTAAAAAATATAACCATTACATAATATAAATATATAAAGTTTATTTATTTATGTTTTATTTTAATCAAATGTTTAGAAGAATATAAAAGAAAATTTTTAATGCTTTTTAAAAGCTCTTTGAATTTTGTGAACTTTTATTAAAATGAGACTAATATTTTGTTTGGGATAAATTTTATATTGTTTTACAAAGTAATTTTATTAAAAATTTATTTAAAAAAGTAGTAAGAAAGTTGAAATGAAGGCTTCATTTCGTCATCTAATCTGTTTTAAACAACTTGTTTCATTCTAATAAATTTTATTTGTGATGATTTTTGTATTGGATTATAAAATATATTTTTAATTTTTGTACTAAAAAATTATTTTATAAATACTTAAAATTTATTTTTAAAAAACAATAAGAAAATTATCTCAAAAAAATCTAAGTTTATTAAAATTTCATGTTATTACAGAATATTCAGATATTTTTTAAAAAAGAAAATGAATAGTGTATTCTTTTGTAACAATTATAAATAAAATTCTACATGATTCTTTATCAATCTAAGGCTATCATTTGTGGGTCTAGCTCAATTCGTTTCACCCTTTTTTTAAAACGGAGATTTTGTTCAGCAATTCAGTTAAAAAATTATGCATTTTAGTTCAATCAGATTCACCCAACCTTAAAATGAAGGCTTCATTTCGTCATCTATCTGTTTTGTATGTTTGGTTTGTATATGATTTTATATTTTAATTCTTGCATTATAATCTTAATTAATATAAATAATTAATTTTTTAAAAAAATTTATTCTGTAATTATTACAAAATTGCGACCAATACTATATTTAACTTGAAACAATTAAGGGATAACGAAATAAAATGGTTATTATTACTAATTTTTATTTTTATTTATATTATCTTATTTTAAAAAAATAAAATAAAAAAAAGAAGAAATAAAATGGCTAGTCTAATATTAGTTGGGAGCTCAACATTAAAAAAATTAGATCCTCCTTATTTTTTTAAGTCTATTTTATATATTTAATATCATTTATATTTTATATTTTATTTTGATTAATTAAATTTCACCCTAAACCCTAAAGAATTAAATAGACAAATTATTTAAAAAAACTGCTCCTTTTCTTATTGGTCTAATTTCTAATTTTATTTAACATTTCTTTTGAAACAAACTATCACTTAAATTTAATAATTAAAATTTATTTAATATTTATTAATCGATTAAAAATAAGCAAAATTTTACAAAATATTGTGCAGCCTTTTTAGAGATTAACAATTATTTTTCGTCAAAAAATCTTTTGCAGGAGCCAAATAAAATTGTAGCAATAATCTCAATGGCAAAGTCGTAAAAAAAAAAAAGATAAAACTATCCGATAAACTTAGATGAGACTTTCGGATAACTAAAAACCTTAGAAAAGCCTACCGACCACACAAATTGAAGAGGAACAAGCCAGAAAATGGAGGCCAAACTCATCCTCTCCCCCTTCCCCTCCAAGCTTCACTTCCCCTCTCCCTGTCCAAAAATTCCCAGACAACCCTCCATCCTCTGTTCAACACTCTCCCCCAACAACAATTCTCAAGATAGCAGCAGCAGCAGCAGCAGCAATGGCAAAACAAAGGAAACCCAATCTCCCACCACTCTCAACATCAGATACAGAGCTCGGTCGAAAAGACAACAAGCCAAGCAAGAGAAGCAGAAGCAGGAAGAAAAAAACTTGCAGAAAGAACCAAAACCCGCGAAGAAATGGGAGGAAATGAGACTTTCAGAGAAGGCATTGGAGCTTTACCTGGGAGAGAAAGGAGTGCTGTTTTGGCTCAATAAGTTGGCCTACGCCTCCATCTTCGTTGTCATCGGCGCGTGGATTCTCTTCCGCTTTGTTGGCCCATCTCTCGGCCTCTATCAGCTGGACTCTTCCCCTCTCTCTCCGTCCTCCATCTTCAAAGACGGTTAGATATTTGAAAGAAAAAAAAAAATTAAATCTAATGATTTTGATTATTCCTCTTAAAATGTAATAGTGGAAATAAACTTCGACTAGTTTAATGGATTTTCCGTGCGACACTGGCTGTATATAGTCAAATACTAATGGATTGAAAATTCTCATGAAATATTTAATTTATAAGACTACTATGTCTTCGTGCCACAAAACAGGTGCAGGCTTCAAATCACCCATGGTAGCGAGAAATTATTATGTGCGGAGTTCAGACGGGAAGAACAATATGGACTGTGAGTACACAATGTGTCATATATGTGTACACATATTATGTACAATATATCACAGATCCGAACGGTTCTTCTCATCCAGACTCCATACAAAATAATTTCTCCATAGTAACATACCACCCTCCCTCGCTCTTTCTAAACCCAGCAGGCAGAGCATCTCACACTGCATAAATGGACCAACATTTTCTCCAATCAATTTGAATGAATATGCTAATTATTAAATGTAAATGATTAATTAATTTTAATTCAATTTGATATAATTCGTCAAATATTATTTATATTTGATAGGTAACAAAAAATTGCCTTATTGAGCAAGAATCTCAAGGCTTATTCAATTTGGAAAGTTCCAAAATTAAATATAGGACCATCTAAACTTCAATTTAAGCAAACATATAGTCAAATCAAACATCTTAAGGAGATGCACCAAACGATACCAAAATCAATCCAATACAAGCCCAAATGAGCCTAAATCAAAGGACTGAATCATATTGAAAGTTCAAAGCATAAATTGGATGATAAATTGATTTCTAAATATGACAGACTTATAGTCTAATCGAGTGGCCCCCACCCGACCATCGTCGAAATATTGCCCGATCACCACCAGACTCCTGTTGGACTATCGTCGGACCACCACTTGATCGTCGTCCATCATCAAACTTCCAACCCACCACCAACCGTTATCAGACTCCAGCATAACCATTGTCAGACCATTGCCCAACCCCCAATTATCGCTGGTGCCAAACTTTAATATAGCTGTCAACAGTCCCTAGACTTCAATCTGGTCACCGATCATAGCCGGATTTTAGCTTGACCATCATCGGACCACTGGCCCGTTGCCAACTACCGCCATATCATAGCCTTCAATCGGACTTCCGGCCAACTCTCTAAATTATTATAATTTTACCGCCTCTAAGTCAAGGGACAGGTCAACCTTTGTAAATCGCTTAAATTTAGTGGAATCTTTTCACCTAAGGAACACCCCGTGGTTTTTCTCTCTTTGAGTTTTCCACATAAAAAAATTATGATGGTTTTCTGCCCACTTTTGAACTACTTGTTTGTGTATTGGATATCAATGCATTGCTATGAAAAAAAATTTTAAGCGATTTACAAAGGTTGTCTCTACCCCATGAATATTCTACCCAGCAACATTATTTGATAAATTTAAATATTAATTCAACAAATATTTATAAATATTTAGCTTTTTATTTAATATTATGTTCATTTTTAAAATTCATATGATATACAAAATTGAATAATTTAATGAAATGAGTTAATAAATTAATAACTTAGTAAGATTATTAATATCAATAATAATATTTTTTTTATTGAATTGAATAATAAGCTTATTCAAATAAAATAATATTTATATCTAAAAAAAAATATTTTACTAATTTTTATTATTATATATTTTATTATAAATAAATATTACATATAATATTCAAAATAAAAATCAAAATGAATTAATCCTTCGAAAGTAGAGTAAAATAAAAATTATTAAAGCCTCAAATAAAATGCTAGCTTCACTTTCCATAATAAATAGGATTGATTTAATCATGATGTAAAAAATAGCCGTCTTTATACATTTTAAATGACGATGGTAGGATGACAAAAGTATAGTATTGGTTTGCGGCAATTGCTGATCATTGTACTCGTGGATGGTGAATGCAAGAAATTGCTATAAAATTCTTTAGCTCTCCCCACTCATGAACTCCCCTTTAATGTAGATAATGACGTCCTATGTTTATGATAAATTATTCTCTATAGAGTCTGAACGTAGAATGCCGTCCAGAAGCAAATCAAAATGCGTCATGTTAGCGGCAGCGAGCCACAATACCGTGCACAGGGGTAATGTGATGCATTCTGGTTGGTCTTCAGATGGTGTTTGATATCCACATATAATGATTAATCCCTATTTATAGACTTTTTGATAGGTTTATTTTGATAGATTTTAACAATTCCACTATTTATTATATTTATCGTATTAATGATAGATTATTTATAAGAGTCTTGCATTGGGTACCCATACCCACACCAACCCATGTCCCACCCATACCCAATGGGTATGGGTATGCCCATGACTTTGTGGGTGGGTATGGGTGGTACTCAACATCAGGAGATAAATCAATTTACATTATTAATCACCGTATATATTATATTACTACAATCCTCACTATGTAGTGTGCAACACTTAACAACGTTATGACTACGGTAAATTCTGATATGCTGCTTGAAAGTTCACAACATAGTTAAGGACAACAAGCCTCAAGGCCATCAGTCTGTGGTAGACTGCTTTCAAAAAGCATGGAAAGTGGGTGGGTATATGTGGGTAAGGAATCCTGGAAATCACCATGGGTGGGCGTAGGTGGGCGAAGCTCGTTCGAGTAAAGCATGGGTACACAATGGGTACCCAACCAGGATCCCATGTAGGGCTTTTTTATTTATCAAATATTTGATTTTCTTCATAATGTCCGAACCAAAAAATCTTGAGCACATTAGATTTGTCTCATTGAGTTGCTTGATTTGACTATAAGAACA